GACACATTGACTTATTTAAACATTTTGGCAATTTCATGCCGCCTTTTGAAAATATAAATCAGTTACAGGCAATGCTAATCGACGCATTGATCCTAAGTGAAGGAAATACATATCATGATAAGAAAAAGAAAGGCGTTTCAAGGATAAAACGTGCAATAAACTTTGAAAACACTGATACATCAGGCCTATTTATATATTTATTTTGTATTAGCTTAATATAAAGATAACCTTACTTTTCGATGAGTATTTGGATTTCGGAGTAATTTGTTTCAAGTTAAGTCAATACAAATTATCGCCGACTTAACTTGTGACCATACATAAAATTATGATAAATGAGGGGCATTTTAAAACACAATTGGGCAAAACAAGCATATTCAATCGAATGTACCATTCTCTCTGCTGTTCTTTCCCAGCCTATCCATAAACAGACAGGTACAAGTTCCCATAGTTTTCGCAACATCTAATTCTATAATCAATTGCTAGACACAGCAAATATACTAATTAATTGTCTGATTGTGATTCGGGAACGTAGGGTTTTTACATAAACAGGATACTTGGCTGTACATAGCCTGAGAACACTGGATTGACCCCCCCCCCAATCGACGCCTAGGCGCTGCTTATGTTTTAATAAGAAACATTCCCTTGTAAAGAATTATCGGGATATGAATTGATACAAGGTCAAGCCCCTTTTGTGTGAAAAAAATATGTATTTAATTGGTGCTTTAACTTTTTGAACAAAGAAATGAAATAATCACACTGAATGTCTCAACATAAATCAGTGATGTTTAATTAATAAATGACACTATTATGTCAGTCTACGCACTTCATGGACATGGACGGGGGTGGGGGTGAGTTACCCATTCTAAAATGGTTAAACTTTGTATTAAAGAGTAATCAATAGGTCGTGAACTCCGATTGATAACCAACTGTAGCATACTGCTTAATTTGTTTGACTATTGATATTAAAAAGGAGTGAATTTATGATATTCATAGAGGTACATTGTATTAGTATCAATATAATAATGATATTGGGGACCATAAACCACTTTGTTTCGCAAGTAGCTTTAGGATCGCGGTTTTATCTTCACATGTTGCCCTTTGTGCAATTCGAAAATGAAATATTTTAATCTATAATTTATATATCATTTGCAAAATAAATGTAATTAAGAGACATGGGGGAGGGGGGGGGGGGGGTTAACGGCCAAAATTTGGAATGAATTTGGGAATTTCAAGGATTGATTCACTTAATATTGTTCACTGGAGTCGATACACACACCTGCATAACAATCGGAGACAAAACTGACTTAATCTGATATGATAACAAAAGATTAATAACTTTGTCTATGTTTTTGTTTTTATAATTGCGGAAGTGTACCAAAACCACCTTGATTACAGAAGATATCGTCTAGGCTTTAGATTTAATGAATAGATTTTTTGCCCTAGTCTCATTTAATAAAACAGGCTATTTGCGTATTTAATTAATATTTGTGACAAAATATTTCAGTTAGACTCAAAATCAAAACGAATTTCTCCATTATAGCCCCCCTTGCAACTGTCCCGAGTCTGCATCTGTTTTTCATGCTTCCGATCCACCTTTGCGATAGAGAGAATAGATGTAGATTTGTAATTTGGGGGGGGGGCATTTAATGTGTTCTCATACAAACTAAAATAAACCCCAAAAAGCCATATCAAATGTCCAAACACAAGACCAATGCCATGTCAAACATCCAAATATAGAACCAATGCCATACCCCCGGGTACCAAATATCCAGAATATAAGACCAAGGCCATTCGAAATATCGAATGCCCCGGGAAGAAGGCAGATCTTTGAGTAAAATGATCATAAAACAACCTCAAATGAAGGATATGTGTAACAACTAGACCAATGCCCCGGGACCAATGCTGTACCACAATTGAGGGGTAACATATTTTCCACACCGATTCTTATACCTGAAAATGGAAAAATCTGTCTTAAAATGTGGGTCCATTGGCTTGACATACCAAATGTAAAAAAGGTACCCCACCTGAGCCGAGTGTGAACCCCCGGGGTGAATGGTGAACACACGGGGCAAGGAATTCTTCGATTTTGATTCAAGTAATTTTTTTATAAAATTCATACTCATGTTAATAGCGGACGCCTTGGCCAAATAATCTTTCAAATCATGCACTTTCCAAGTGATTTTGTAGCAAAATTGTGATAATATATGAACCCCTTGGAATTATTCAAAGACGGACCCCCGCCAGCCCATCCCCCATTCTTACCTATGCTAAACACTAAGATAAACATATAGAATGGTATCTTACACTTTTTTCTAAATGTTGATATCCAAAAAACATATCTTTTTGGTTTATCAACACATACCGCTCACAATATAACAAGTATACAGATTGTAACATAGATAAGCGAATTGGGGAAAATTACAATCCCTTTGATCAAATTATTATAAGATTTAATCTCCAGCTGAGGTGCAATCAAAATGTTGATACACATAATAAGCAGTCAGAAAGATGCTCTTACCACTGTAGTTTTCAATATTCCCTTTGTTGTAACATCTTATTTCAAAAGAATGGATATTGATGGTTGTATGGAAGTATTCATATCAAACATTCACATTATAGTTTACAGTGGAATTCCCTCCATAAATGCAACATATTTACCATGAAGATTTCATATTGGACTTTCCGCATAATGATAAAATGTTGACGATATAGTTTTCGATAAAACCCCAGGGCCGTAGCCAGCTTTCAGTCGGGGGGAGGGGTGATGCAATCACCAAAATATTTTAGGTTTTCAGTCGGGGGGTGCGATCGTGACATAAATGAGGCAAAAAATATTTGTTTTGAATTTTTACGAAAATGATGCAACTTCCTTCAAACCTGAGCTAGAAGCTTCAAACAAAAAATCAATGTAATGCTCTTTTCTTCCTCTACCGTATGGTACCTTTTATTGCTTGTAGGAGGGGGTGCGAACCCACCGCTTCTCCTCGTTACGCTTATAAACCCAATAACGTATTCCCAAGGAATCGACTTTATTAATTTATATGTGAAAAATGAGCTTGCATGTACAAATTGCATCGTATGCAAACCTTCCCCTGACCGACCCGGTCATGTTTATGTCTTTTGAATGATGTCTACCCCTTGATGCATGCATCCTTTAATAAGTGGTGTTAAGAATATGGGTGTAGGCCCTGGTGAAGGGATATGTCATAAAGATTTCACGTTATCGCGATGTACATGTAGCCGCGTCCCCTTTGTCTTTATCCTTCCAAACGCAAACGGCAGATAAGATGGGTTCTTAGTGATTGATCTGATGCTTAATAAGCCACTTACAAGATACAGTTTTAAATATTGATATTGTGTAAAGTTTTAACACATAGGCGTAACCAGGGGGGGGGGGGTGCGATTCGTGAATGATCGCACCCCCCCCCACTGCTTAACCAATAGAGAAGAAAGAAGAAAGGAGCTTTGAATGGCTTTCATTTGAAACTTCTAGTTCAATTTTGAAGGAATTTGCAATGTCTGGTTCACATTTGCTCAAATTCATCGTCCGGCCTCCGGCCGATTGAGTATTTTGTTTAAAATTGTTGTCATGTTTGAAAAAACACTCAATCGGCCGGCCCCCGGCCGATGAATCGGAGCAAATATGACCCAGGCATATGAGGGGCAACATTTTAGATATAGTATTGTTTGAAATCCTGGGAAAATGCACTCCCCCAATTTTGCAAATCTGGTCTGCGGTGCTAATGAACCCTCTAATTTGTTTTCGTTTACATGAGCAACTAACATATATGTTTATTCTCATTCTGTCTCAGCTTGATTTTAATTAAATTTTACCCCCACCCTTCGAACGTCTTTGTCTCTCTCATTTTTGCAACCCTACATTCAGTTTCCAAATCAAGAAATATCCGTCCACATATCAGATATTAAACCAATAGTTGTTCATTATAAGAACAACCATATATTATATTTATAGATCATAAGCTATTTTTAATTTCAGCTATAAAATTAGTCCTCTATCCCCTCCTCTATCTCTAGATACGCAGAGTTTCTAGACCGGCTAAGCACGTCTAAAAATTACTAGAAATTCCACAATTTATACAGTGATATGGATTTCATGTTTCTATTGAATCCCTTATTTTGAAGTCTAGCTAAATAATCGAGTTAAATTTTAAACGTTTTCGGGGATCCGGGCAGAACTCAGGATATAGTACTTGAGTACATTTGCATTCAAAATAATTCAAAATTCAAAATTGCAAATATCATGGAAGTTGATTGCAATTATGTTCGATGATCGTCAACATGAAAGAACAATATGTCTGAATAATTAGCTATTAAACATCTTTATCAAAACTTTCCTACACTTTTAAATGTTGATCTTGTCAAAGAGTACTCTCCATCTGAGATTCAGATGTAGATCGAAAATCAAATTGATTTCAAAGGTATTTATAGATAGTTTACATGAGGGGTTCTGTCCATGGTGTATTCCTTTCATAACAAAGAGTTGTTTTGCTTCCGGGGTCCTAAATTATTCAATTTTAAATAGTAACTAATAAGATTAAACAGATCAAAAAGACTCGGGGCACTGCCGTCGCCCCATCATGATCAATACAGGTGACAATAAGCGACACATGTTTCAGCGTCATGATAGTAAACCATGACATCTCAAATCTTCCCAGCCCTTGATTTTTGAGATCTTTCATCCCAGCTCATATTTCATCTAATTGGGGTCATAAAACTTGTGTAACTGTGCCTGTTGCATCCTCGCTGGAAGGGTATTTTACAAGTATAAATGAAGTCCTTTGAAGAAGGATGTGCCTGTTGTTAAATACATGTACAATGCCTTACTACATTATGTAATGTATTGACATTAAGGTAGATGATTACATGATAACAATCACACTTATTGACATTCATAACTCTTCCCATCTGATATGCTCAGATCACAGAATATGCCTCATTATATCAGAGCATGTTTCAGGCGTTTCAGACCCATAGCCAGGATTTGCCAAGGGGTGGGTTACTTTTTTAAGAAATTCCAGGGGGAGTTTACTTTTGGCAATGTTAGTTCAAAAATGAGCAAAATAATTTAAAAGGTGCTCAGTATGGGGTAAAAAATGCAATTTTGGTCACGGGGGGGGGGGTTGCTAGAACCAATCTATCCCCCTGTATTCGGGCCTGCATGTGCTATCTACATATTTGACAATTTGATTGACACGGTTCAAAGTGGACTTTGTTAATTATTCAAACACATTTCTTGTTTTCATTTGATCTTTAACATGATCCTGTAAAAATGTCAGATTTAGCAAAATACATAGGCGATCTCCATCTGCACACATCTACTCATTTCGACTAAGCTATTGCCTATACTTACACACACACGCATACTTTTAAATTAATTTTATTTTGATAATGATTTAAAAAACACAAATTATTATTAACACGAAATTAAAATGATTGTTATATTCCAATCCTAGTAAAGTATAATTAAGCGCGACTATAGGGCATAACAACATATGGCCGGTCTAATTATACTGTTTGTTTTGATAAGGCTGTGCAAAGAGATATCAAAACTCTTGACACGCTCTTTACACGCGAGGTCTTTGCACCTCTTGACACGTCTTGGAATCTCTAGATACGCAGAGTTCCTAGACTATCTTTGCACGTCTAGAAATTGCTTGGAATTTCACATTTGACGCAGTGCTAGTATTATGAAGTAATGAAGAGTCATCCAAAAATATTTATTATGAAAAAATAGAAACATATTATACCAGGAAAATGGAGACAGTAATCTATTGAAAATCGGACAAAACTGTGAAAATCACAATTTTTCAGTCAAAGCATGGGTACATTTCACATGGGATTTGGGTCTCAAAATTTGGTGTTTGGGCTCCTAGTATTATTAAGTAATAAAGAGTCCTACAAAAATGTTTATTATGAAAAAATAGAAACATTTTATACCAGGAAAAAGGAGATGGCAATTTATCGAAAATAGCAAAAAATCATGAAATAATCGAATTTTTCAGTCGAAGCGTGGGTAAATTTCCCATGGGATTTGGGTCATAAAATTTGGTGTGCAGGTGTTTTAGGTCATGGACAACAGTAAGTCAAATGAGGAAGATGATCCGAAAGAAAGTTGGTTTTTCGCCATATTTTGGACCACCCTACTCATCAAGGGTCGAATCTCAGACAAAGGGTAAAAACGCGTAAACCTAGATTGACATTTTAAAGAGAGAATCGGATTAAGCAAGCAGTCTAACAACAAAATTGTTTCAATTTTAGAATATTTCTGGCTTTTGTCATTCCTTTTCATGTCTATTATCTAAAAATCCCAAAACTGCACACTTTATTTCAGGAAAACTAAAGAGTTTACAACAATGACTTTTGTATATTTTTTCTATAAGAATGGTTTCTTATTATTTACAATTTTGCACTTTTAATCTATTATAACTTCATCAATTTCTAACATATCGTAAATATTTTGTGAGATATTGTATTTGAGATTGTAAGGAATATATAAGTACGTCAATTGTACATGTTGCTTGTAATTTTGTCACCTCCATATATCTGATTCTGCCTTTAACCTAGAATGACTTTGACCTCTGACCTTAGTAGAACGCTCACTGGCCCATCAAGTATGAGGGCAAAAGGAGATGTCGAGACCTACTACATAAAAGCATGTTTGGTCTGTCTGTCATTTTGTCTGTCTGTCGGGACATCTCCTTCTACACCATTTAACCTTAGTAAGTTGGTCTCCGAAGGTCAGAGTTAAGTTCATTCAAAGGTAAACGATCAATGTCTAGGTATTTGGCGTTTGGTGATACTATGGCCCTTGGCGAATTATGATTAGATGAACCGAGGTCAACATTGTTTCTTGTACAAGGTCATCCCAAGGTCAAAGGTAAATATTTAGGTATTTTACGTTTCAAGACCTTTGGACAAATTCGATTCAATTCAAGAATCGGTCAAGGCCAAAAAATCAATATACAGGTATTTTGTATTTTTTTGTGACGATGTATTAAAGTTAAAATGTATACAGAGATAAAAGAGGTTAGCTCCTATCGTTTTCTTGTGTATACGTTTATGTCTCTGCGTAATAACGCAGATGCGAACCCTTAAAATGTATCTTATAGCAATGCAAATTAAAATATGTCCAGTGAACGAAAATGCAATACAAGAATAGATATTTCACTTTTTGTGATTTTGTAACAATGGGGTTATTTTTGTATATGTAACATGGTCATTTTCACATTTTATATTATTACTGTTCATATTAATCAATCCCTATTCATCTCAATATAACAGGTCCCTAAGTAGGTTGTTTGCAGTTTTACTCTTTTAATACCATGTTCACTTTTCACCTTTTATTGAAACCAGTTATTCAACTATGCAAACTGTGTCAGTTTTATATATCTGTTGTTCCCTTATATGGTCTTTCTCACTCACACGTAGCTGAGTTTGCATTGGGTGTTGGCTTGTCAGTAGTTGTTGTAAGAGTTTGTACATTACAGAGCATTGTATTTTGAACATTGAAATTTGAAATATACTATTATATATATATTTTAATTTGAAGTTCGAGTTATTTTATTGCCACCCATGGGCCTTCCACACGCCCATTTACATATAACGCATTGAAACAACTTTAAAAAGTGAGCAATGTCAGTGTTGTGATAATAGAGAATTTTCGTTATAAGTTGTTTCAAAAACTTATACATATACTTATAGTTTAAAGGGTCTTGTCGAACTAAAATCAATTCAAATTGATTTTCATAATCTGTACCAAGTGGGGCATAACTATTCCCGATATAGTCAAGCTCCATCATCAACTAGGGACTGCGAATACAATGTCCTTTGCTAGTGTCAATTATGAACACGATAAACTAAACACTAGTTGACGGGTCCTTGTAGTGTACGATAAACAATACCCTTTAAAGTGAATCACTACACAAACGAGTCTATCATTTCAAAGTTCTCATGAAATTATAAGGTCACTAGAGAATTTTCGTTATAAGTTTTTTAAAAACATTCTCTAAAAAAGGGCCTTTATACGCAGATTATAAACTTACAGAGTTGGATCTCCGCATAGTATATGTGTGTGGACCTACTGACCAGAATGGCTTATTAAAATTAATCGGCTGAATAGGCATAGTATCCAATCAAACAGCTCGACTCATTCATTAGCTGAACTAATTCTCCCTTCGTTATTTCTACAAGGTGATTCAAAACGATCATCTACAAAAAATATATTTGGGAGTAGATAAATCAGTAAAACCCGTGTGCTATATCAACCTATTTGATTCTAGAAAACACATATGACACAAGTAAACATGCTTTACATCAAGGGGGTACGGATGGTATGCCATTGGCCCTTTTTATTACCGTCCTAGGAGATATTTCCCGACGAATTAGGAAATTATGAAACACCTTGTTTATTGGGTTTATAAGTATAAGTATACGTATAAGTTTTTAAAAAACTTATAACGAAAATTCTCTATTAACGCCCCTCATACCTATTTATTACAGGTCGTGTAGACCATTGTTGCCTGATTTATAGCAAAAACATTGACTTTTGCACGTTGATGATGATGATGATGATGATGATGCGCCTTTTATAATAGATCTCATATCTTAGAAGCGTATCAGTTAAAAAAAATACTAGAAGACCTTACATATTTTGCCATGCACTGCGCCTATTCATTTGGCAATTCAGTTGTAAATTTTATCTTCCAAATTTGTTGAGTTTTCTTGCAGAAATCGCCTACCCCCCCCCCTCCATTCATTTTGTATGATCTCCGGGCGTGATTTAAGCTGCTGATATTCTTCTTTAAACTTCTTCTTCCAAATTTGTTGAGTTTTCTTGCAGAAATCGCCTACCCCCCCCCCTCCATCCGTTTTGTATGATCTCCGGGCGTGATTTAAGCTGCTGATATTCTTTTTTAAACGAGTCGGATTTTCAAAATCTATAAGTTGGACTCCTTTTATAGAAGCTTTGAACTGAATTTGCACTGCTTAATGCTGAAATTTTATTGCTTATCCATACATTTTAAGAAAAAATGTATAAAAAAAGATGTTAAGCCAAATGTTGCCCTAAAAATTCAGAAAATGTAAAACATTTCAAATTTTCTATGTACAGGCCTTGTTGCCCCTTTAAGAAGCTTAATAGGTAAATTATCTAATCAAACATTTCGTCCACCATTTTGAAACACTAATCAATCCAATCTGTGCTAGCGATTCATAGGGCGAGCCATTGGGATATTTCCAGGGTTCGTACACACCTGGAAATGTCAGGGAAATTGACTTGATTTTCCAAGTGCTGGAAATGTCAGGTAATTTTAAAATTAGGTCAAAAGGGCCAAAGATGACCGGGAATTTTGAAACGGTAGATATGTCAGGGAAATGTCAGGGAAATTTGTATCAGTGTTGAAAAAAAAATGTTCCAGAAAAAAAATTAGGACTATGACAGGATATCAATGAATTCCAAAATGTAATATTTAGTTGATTCCACAGGCTAAAGTATGAAAACGTATTACATATATCTAAAAATTTTACACTGTCTTGATTAATGAATTTCATAGATCTAGAGGCCCTTCAGGAGTGGAAAACCTTAAATTATCAGAGATTTATGTTTCCAAACTGTTTTGAAACAAACTAACGTCTTGTTTTCAACCTACACCTTTCTCCTTTCTGTCGTATTTAATAAAACAAAAATAGTATATCACGGAGGGATACGAACCACTCACCTGGGACTTGGTTATTCACTAGCGCCATAGGCACACTACTATACCTAGAAACACCTAGAAATGCATAAGATACTTTGTTTGTCTAATTGGATTGTTTAGTATATTTTTGAAAGTACCTTATCAACATCTAACTTTCAACCGATAAGCCATTAATAAGGAACAGACAAATAAAAACAAATATATTAATCATTACTAATAAGCCAAATGGGTTGCTCATGAAAGCCAAATGCAAGGTATAGTAGAGTGATAGGCGTTCTACTATTCTGGATACAACTGACGAGTCGTATTTAAGTGGA